TGTGTCTGGTTTAATTAACATTGTCTGTGTGTTTCACTAACAGCCTGGAAAGACGTCACATCCGGAGATTTCACCGTGAAGATGCTCGACGGCTCTCACTTCTACCTGAAGGAGCCGCAAAATGAGAAGATAATCCTGGACTACATCACCAAGCAGCTGGAGACGACCGGGATGGACTATTTATGACCAGAATGATGACGTACAGCAGGTTGTGTTGATTCATTTATCACCATGTGCTTCCGTTGAACGAGTCTGACCCGGTTTTGTACCTTAATAAGCCTCCAAAGTTAACATTTGTAAAGTAAATAGGTTGGAATTAAAAATCACATAAAAAAAAACACGATAATGGACCAAAGTTTAGGAATAAATGTACCCCGGAGCATTAATAACAGCACTCAGACTGAAGATATTTATGTTTTTAATCCAGAGTTTTGAATTCTTGTTGCATATTTCTCACAAATTTAAACACTTCAAACTAACTACAACAATGTACAGCAGTGTTTTTGTACTAATTTATCACGATGTTATTTAATTCTGTGCAATTCTTTGTCACTATCAGTCCACAAATATCACATTTAATTGATTAAGTCTAATCCTGTTTTTATGCCTAAAAAAAGACCCAAAATTAATTGGAAATCAAAATTGTTGTTGATTTCTTTGAGTTTATGATTAAAAACGTAATTAAAATACACAATAATGGACCAAATGTCTTCTTAAACTTCTATTAACTCGTATAGTAATGATGAAATGAAGAATAAACGCTCTTGGCAGCATTAACAACAGACTCCTGGTTTACATGTTTTTTGTCCAGAATCTTGAATCCTTTTTGCACATTGCTTGCATATATAAAACACACATATTTTTGCATTTGTTCAGGCTTAAATATCGACTCCACAGAAACCAAACGCTTCCTTATTTTTATTTCTAAATCCAGTATATTCAGTCACGCCTTTCGCTCCACAGAATCATGTGCAGAATTTCTAAACCTGTGAATAAATACGTGTCTATCTGACATTTTTACAGCAGTTTTTAATTCTTCAAGTTTAATATACAGAACCTGAGAGAAACACACTCGAGACTTGATTCGGCGTCGCTACGATTAAATCCCTCTTTGAATTATCTTCACACACGGTTTTGCTTGAAATAAGTTCATTTTTTTTTGGACATTTTTTCACATTCAGGGATGAGAAGCTCCTGGTTTTCACTTTTAGTCAGATTAGAAAAAGAAAAACGTCAGTCTGAGGTCGAGTCTTTGGCAACTGATGGAGGAGGAGGAGGAAGATGAGGAGGAAGACAATGAGGAGGAGGAGGATGAAGAGGATACTGCTACATGTGATGATGACGAGGGTGATGAGGAGGCAGGGGAGGAGGAGACGGGGGAGGAGAGGGAGGCGGCGGTAGGTCGTCCTCCCTGCGCTGACCGTCGGGCCGGTCGGCCAGCATGAAGGAATCGGTGGACCTGGTGCTGATCCGGAGCGGCGCCAGGCGCTGCAGGCTGCTGGGCGTCCACGGCAGCCTCACCTGAGCCCTCTGGGACGGAGCCACGGCGGCGCCGCCCGGCTCCGCCTCGGCCAGCCAGGGGGGGATCTGCACTGACGACGGGTCCAGGTCCGGTATGAAGACCGGGTTCTCGATGCCGGCTGGAGGAGAGACGTCAGCGGGTTACAGTCTTAATTCTAAATTGTGTTTTTTTTTAATGTTTATTCTCTGACTGTAACGCTTTACTGTCTTCTTTTATTTTTTACTTTTAGTAATTTTTCATCTTATAGCGTTTTTGCGCTCTTCTATTAGTGTTTTATTCTTTTGTTAAAGTGATTTTTTATCCTCTTTTATTTATTCCCTTCTTTTAATACTTCATAACCTTCTTTTAACATTTTGTCTTTTTTTAATTCTATATTTATTTTTTGTCTTTTTTAATCCTTTATTGTCTACTTTTAATATTTTATTCTCCTATAAATGTTTTATTCTCCTCTTTTAATGTTTTTACTGTCTTCTGTTAACATTTTGTCTTTTTTAATCCTTTATTGTCTCCTTTGAACATTTTACTCTCCTATAAATGTTTTTTTTTTAATCTTTGTTAGATGTTTTATTCTTTTACATAATCTTTTATTGCTTTATTGTTGTTTTCATCTCTTTCACTGTTTTATTCTTTATTGTCTTCCTTTAAAGCTGCATTCTCTTTTATTGTCCTTTCATGCTTTGTTGTCTTCTTTTATTCTAAACTGTTCATTCTCTGACTGTAGTGCTTTCTTGTTTTCTTTTATACTTCATTGTTTCCTCTAAATGCTTTTGTAGCGGGATTCGAACCCATGATCACTGCGTCAGGGACAGTAGCCCGTTGCACATGGGACGCCAGCTCAACCAGGCGAGCTGTAGCGGCGGCCCAAAAGCTTAATGTCGTTTTAAAAGGTGTTACAGAAATAAAGTTTATGTTGACGATGACTTTACCTCCGGGTCTGTAGGCGACTCTCATGGGCATCGAGTTGAACGCCGGGTCGAAGCCGGAGGCGCTGTCTCCTTCTGAGAACTCAAAATCTGCAAAAGAAAACCAGAAACTTTTCGTGAAGAAGTAGACAGCTCCTTGAGACGAAGCATTTCAGTTTAAAGATAAATGCAAAACACGTGAAAACACAGCAAACACAGCAAATATGCTCTTGAAAATTAAAAAAAAAACAAACAAAAAAAAAAAACATTGAAAATCTGACAAGAAGAAAAAACTGGAATAAAAAAAATGTTAAAAAGTGTAAAAAAATAAATAAATAAAAAATAATAATAGAAAATATCTCTAAATAATTATCAGAACAGTGTCATTTTATGGTCAAACTAATTGTAGATGTGGACATTATTTACAGGTTTTTTTTTTCATTTTTCTGTAATTTTACTAGCACAGCATCCGTTACCATGGAGATGTAGCCAGTTAGAAGACCTTCATGGAGCTACAAACTCTGACTTTAGGCTCATCTCAGGTCGTAGTTCAGCCCTTGTTACTCGTTTACATCATCATTTACACGATCGGTTTGACGCTCAAACACAGAACGAGGAGCTCCGACGCGGTTTCCTCGCTTGAAGCGCTTCTGCCAAGTTTTACGAGTTGAAATGCCTCAAAATGCCATCGGACAACAGCTCGCTCCGTGGATGTAAACAGCACAAAACCTGCGTCGCTTTAACCCCGTTCAGGACCTTCATGCTGCCGTACGTAGAAAGAACATGTGGAAAATATGTGTTGGTCTTCATGATAGACTTTTATACGACGTTAAATACATTTTCTGATAAGTTGACCTATTTTGGATTTTAAACGCATGACAAATGTCCCTCTTTTTATATTAAAAAAAATAATCTTTAAAAAAATGAACAAACAACACCTGTCACCTAAACCACATGACCTGGGGTCCAAAACACCTGAACAGGGTTCAAGGTTTCAGACGAGAGCTGCTGCAGAAATGTACAATCTGAGAGAAATGAAGTGTTTTTATCACATTAAAGCAGCGAACATGTTGTCGTCGAGTCCAGAAACAAAACCACGGACCTGCAAAAGCGCTTCTCGTGTCAAAACCGACAGAAAGACACAAACCTTCGTCTCCGGAGTAGTAGCTTCTAGTCTTGTCCATCGACTTTCCGTTGGGCGTCTGGAACAGGAAGACAATCGATCAGCCTTCAGCCGAGTTACACCAAGTTAGAAAGCAAAGCAGTGAAGCGCCGGTTCAGCAGTCGGGCTGGATCACATCAGAACATTCTGAACATTAACGCTGACAGGACGACAG